TGTTTGCACACATTATTTTGTCCATGCCACATGACCCCGCTGAACGTCATGGTTACATGTCCCTAATCTATTATTTGGTATTTGCTCTTATTACTATTTGGCTTCTTTGCCATCTTGAGAGCAAAGGAGCCAGGAGGAATATAGAGACATGATAACCAACACTAAGTCCTTTATTAGTTTACCTATCGCTTGCAGTCGAATTTCTCCTTAAGGATACCTCTCTCTCTCGGACACCTCTCTATTACGAACAGTTCCCCATGTCCCGAATTAAATATTTAATACTTAAATAATTCGCTCAGCTTGATTTACATTTTAAGATCTGTATGGTTTGTCATCATCCCTTTTTGGTACGCTTTGATGGCCGGCGAGTTTGGTCGAGCCATGTAATAGTTCACATTTATGCGGGACGTAGACAAACCAAAATACCCATGGCAAGACTAAATCAAGCCTGGTATGTAGCCAAATTGTACCAAAGAAGGAACGATGAGGTATTTAACATACTCAAATTCCAGACATCTTTGAACCTTCAGCTCCATTTAGAAACAAAAAGTTTTAGTAAACATCGTTCAGTTCTGTTTATTTTAGCTGGAAAGTAATTTGACACCTTTAAAGCCCTGAAAACAAACTCTCCACAAATCCTTAATATTCTGAAGGTGTCTTCTTACTTAACGCAATGATCATGTTACTTTTATTTCAAAGAACTGTCTCTTACGTGTTTCTCCTCATGTTGCTTGCAATATGATGAGCGCCTAAAGCATTTTTTACAGTGCTTGCATTTATACGGCTTCTCTCCTGTGTGAATTCGTTCATGTTCCTTGCAATGTGATGACTGCCTAAAGCACCTTTTACAATGTTTGCATGTATACGGCCTCTCTCCTGTGTGAGTTCGTTCATGTTCTTTCCAATTTGATAAGAAAGTAAAGCACTTTTTACAATGCTGGCATGCATACAGTTTTTCTCCTGTGTGAGTTCGTTCATGTTGCTTGCAAGCTGATGAGAAGCTAAAGCACTTTTTACAATTCTTGCATCTGTAAGGCTTCACTCCTGTGTGAGTTCGTTCATGTTCCTTGCAATGTGATAACTGGCTAAAGCACTTATCACAATGCTTACATGTGTACGGTTTAACTCCTGTGTGAGTTCGTTCGTGTTTCCTGCAAGCTGATGAGGTGTTAAAGCACTTTTTACAGTGCTTGCATGTATATGGCTTCTCTCCTGTGTGAGTTCTTTCATGTTGTGTGCAAGCTGATGACTTGCTAAAACACTTATCACAATGCTTGCATGTATATGGCTTCTCTCCTGTGTGAATTCGTTCATGTTGGTTGCAAGATGATAACTTGCTAAAACACTTATCACAATGCTTGCATGTGTACGACTTCATTCCTGTATGAGTTCATTTATGCTCTTTGTAAGCTGATAAGTGGTTAAAGAGCCGGCCACAATGTTTGCATTTGCCTGAAAACAATTATCAAAACATAAATATATATACGTCTTAATGTGAGAGGTTTGAGATGCTGAGATGCTGCAATACTGCTGCATTCTAACACAATTAAAACCCAGTCAGATATAAGATATCAAGTGGTATTATATTTGTTAATTGTTAATCATTGTACTCTCAACCATATTTCTACAACCTTTCCATTGTGCACTGCATTGATTATGTTAGCCACTACATTGTCTATGGCATGGTATAAAATACTTATGGAACACTTTCTTGAGGTAAACCTGTTGTTTGCCAGCTCCTCCGGCCGAAATCGCGTTAGATCGGCCTGAGAAGCTGGCAAACAACAAAGAATACAACACAGCAACAGGGTAAGTAGATTTATTCATAAAATATAAGAATAATTGACTTTTCAAGCAAAGCCGTTACATTCTTATACAAACCTTTATAAATTCAAACCGTTGTAACACAACACCTCCATATGCTGCAAGGCAAGAGTCACGTTTCGCGTAGTCAAATTCGGTCGTTATGTAATAGTATATACCATATGTCACGTTAGGCTGAACGGTCGCATAAAAGTGAAAAAAAAGGATAACATCGAGAGCTTGGATCGCCTGTGTTGTGAATTGTCAATTGACGAGGTCAGCCCCGTCAACTTGCGATTATTCAAGGCGTTTTATATCCGAACGTTGTAAGCCCAAACTTAATTCCCAGGAAGAATGTATTGAACTCAGAGACCTTTTATAATTTCTAATCAAACTACTTAGATCTCTTGTTCTCAGGACAAATCATCAGCGATTTTTGAGCGATTTTACAACACCGGGCCACCATTCAAATTCAGTGAGCGGTATTCTACAATCTAGCAAAAGGTTCAAAACATTTCATCAATGTAACCTTATTCAATAACCCTCGCCAAAGACTATCGTTCTTCGCTGATAGTTCACAACAGTGAATCACGATAGAGAAAGCAATGGCAGAATACAGGAACCCTGTATACTGAAAGAGCCTCGTCATTCTGTATCATATAAAAAACACAGACACTATTTTTTTCTTCATTTCCTGAAATGAAAAGAGGTGACCCTGTATCATTTAGATTAGCTTGACATGAGAAAAGCGTTCTTCTAGCCTCTCTATATCTTACCTTTACAAGCCGCCATTACAGAGATTACATTAGAACCCAGTCTCCCAATTTTTCTAGTTGGATAGGTTGTTGGATGGGGACAGGGGCCTTGTATGTGTGCAAGTAGCAGGGGTGGGGAACGTAGTCTCCTCCGCGGCCTTTTTTTTGCGGGGGGGGGAGGGGGCGTTGCGTGGCATCCCCCCCCCAAAAAAAATAGCTGCGGAAGAGTTTATGGGTAACTATGTGGAGAACACTCTGCAACACCTGACACTTTTTGTTTGTTTTGAACGAGAACAATCTCCAGCTAGGAGCCGCTAGCGGAAAAAGGTCGGAAAAAGAAAATGTGAATGGGCATTTATGTTCTCTCGTAATCTTGGTATCGATTTTGGGCCATTGGCCTTAATCGCTCGGACATTTCAGTGTTCTATGGGGTATGGGGGGGAGGGATGTTACCCATCGCAAACATTTCAGTTATTGGCAAAGAGGCCTCTTATTAATCCTTTAAAACTTGTCTTATTCAAACACTGCTCATTTAAAGATGCAGAGCGTCAATGTTAGTCAGTGTTGTTTTGTCTGGAAAAATTTGCAATTTTCAACTGAACTGGACACTAGAGCCCCTTCTACCTCTTGATTTTCTTCCAATGGGGTTTGTTATTTTAGAGATCTTTTTAAAACGCTACTGCAATTGCAACAACAAATTTTAGTTGCAGTCATGACCAATAATAGCCTAACAGATAAAACCCCCTTCTGGTGCGAAAAGGATTTGAGATACGAGTAGAGGACAGTAGGACCAGCAGGGTGAGAAAACACTGATAGAGAAAGAATTTCTGTCATATTCGATCTGCCTGTTCTTTTGTTACCCTTTCCAGTATTCCACCTGCTATCATTGACGCTGTCAAAATTTTAGAATCTGAGGTCAAAATTAAGGAGAGCTGTTTGTTTTATAGTTTGAATCAAGCTACGATGGCCGAAGACCAAGAGGTTATTGGAACAATGCGTGCTATTCGAAAAGGAGTTCTCTTGTGTGGGTTATTGCTTGCCTCCAGCAAATTGGCAAGGTTTGAAATGTATGCATAACGAGTCTGGATTTATAAGAAAATCTATCGAAAGAAAGGTTATGATTAGACGCTTTTGCTCAGAGTTAAAGCCACAGTCACAGTGTTTGCAGTCTCAGTTTCCCAAAACTTTCAGTCCTGGGCAGTAAGACTATATTCGTATTCTCGGTATAGGACTGGAACTAGCTTGCAACTGAGGCTGATGCGTGGAATCTTTTCAAATGTAAATGACGTAAATATTTTTTTAATGTTATTCCCCCGCATGTCCTCCATTGCATTGCTAGTTTCAGACCAATGCCGAGAATACGAATATGGCTGGCTTCTTTGTTTTCCTTTGCGCATCCTCCGTATCCGGGCAGCGCTACATATATGTATCTCGCCCCATGCCCTCACAATGGCTCAACTGTTCCCACCACCCTCCTAATTTCAGCTGCAGTGTTCACCCTCCAGCCCAACCCAAGGCGGAAGGATTGTAGGAATTTGTTTGAAGCGCTTAATGTCGGAGGTTATATTTCACAGTTCCAACACAATCCGAGTTAAATAGTCTGTTTCAGAATTTCTTACGTGGGAGCGATTTTTCGCTTTTCAGGACATTTGGTACTGCCTTGAGAAAAGGTTCTAAAAGGACAGTAGGCTATTCAAACTCGATACTGCTTGAACTGACGGAACAGGGACTCTGTCAAGATCATTGTCAATTCTTTTAATACAAATTATTAGTGGAAAAATACACTTATCAAGCTTTTAAACTGAACAACGTTGCTTGAAACTTTGGTAAAATTCTAAACTGCAGCAGTCCTCAAACTCTTGCTGCTGAACAATTTTGCCATTTTTACTCTGATGCCTGCCTAAGCCAACTTCTCTTCAAGGGCTTTGATTCGCTTTTCTTGCTCCTCCACCTGTAATTTTAGCTGTTTCACCAGGTCCATTACGTCCTTCAAAATCAAATAAGCTTGAATTATTATTTTACAATTAACCGGAAATATGGGGGAATACCAACATTTGAGATTGGTGCACAGTGTCTGCGCAGGGAATCACCTGAAAATGGGTAGTTTATTTCAAGTCATAAATTGAGAACTGATTAAATTAGATGGATACAGAAGATCCCACAGTCTATGTAGAAAGGGACATTATGACAAAACTTCGTAGTACATGATATTCCCACCTGTTTTCTTGACAATGGATTGATTGTGGAGACAGCCAAGTGCTTAGGGCTGGGTGCCGGACTTGAAATGTTGCAGGTTCAAGTCCCACTCTGACCACTAAGCTGGAGCTGTTTCTCGTCAAACCCTAGTTCAGTTCCTCAGTCATGCCTGTACGTAGCCAACTGGTCTGCCTTCCGCCAGCTGGGATTCTTAAGCCTTTTATGTTTATTAGAAATATTTGTTTCTTTCAGTTTACATGGCATGCCTGAGAATTGGCTAGGTGTAACTTGGTGTAACTACGTGCATAGACCATTATAAACATTTTACATTTTAACATCTTTGGGGAGAAACTGGATGTTTGATCCCCCTTTTACAGTGGCAAGGTACTTACTGGCTCATCATCCTCGGCCTTCTTGGGCACTTTCTTGCCAATAGCAGCTAATCCTTTCTTTGGCTTTGATGTTTTGGAGGCAGCCCCATCCCCTCCTGGCTTGAGTGAGATCAATTTGGGATCAGCATCTTTGCCTTCTAGCCACTCAGCAGCAGAAAGAGAGGGTTCATCACCCTGAGTGTCTGGAAACAAGTCAGACTGGAAGAGTTCTGACTGAAAAACAAAAGGGCATAGGAGTCTTAACTGTGTGAGACAAAAACACTTTGATTTGATTCTGGCAGGTCAATTGTGTACTGACTGATCACAATAAAGTTCAGGCATGTGAGCAAACCTCAAAACCACAAACCAAATGACCGTTGCTGTGTGCTGTTTGCCATTTACTTTTCTCACACCTTATTGGCTTTTTCCTCGCTACACAATAACATTCCAAAAATTGTATCTGCTGTTCATGGTTTTCTAGGTTTCACAGTGAGTGAAATCCAGGACAACGTAAAATAGGGTTCTAGGGATTCAAAGTAGCCAAAGAATGATTTGTAGTAGTCGGCGCTAACATACAGACATCCCCACCATAAAAAGGAACACATGATTTCAGTTTTAATAAATGGTTGTAACACCTTATGAAGCATTATCACCCTGGAAATTCACTTAACTGCACGTCATAAACATTGTAAATTATGTCAGTTTGGTTGTCACAATGAGAAAGGCATTTTTAATTGATGTACACGTCACATAATACTTCATCATGTAGGAACCAGTGAAACCAATAAGACAGTGGAAACTGCAGTGGCCTAATAGTTACTGTGCTGACCTCCAGATTGATTGGATGTCTGAGGTCAATTTGTTGTGTTCTAGGGTAAGACTGGACTGACATCTCACCAAGAGGGGGAGAAGAAATACTCCTAAACATGTCATGCTATGGAAACCACAGATACACACTGGCAAGTTGGGCCACTAAGCTTAAACATAGACTTTTGAGCTGTAACCTAAAATTGTAAAGCTCAATAGAGTTAAAAGATGGAATATAAAGCACTCGCCCCATAACATTTTTAACTTGTTGCAGACATCCAGCACTCTGGGGCCAAACGGCTCTGAAAACGGTCATCAATGTATCGCAAATTTTGGTTATTTCAGCATAACTTCAAATGTAGTAAATATCTTGTCGCGAAACTTGGCAAGTGAATAGAGGACAAATGACCATTTTTTTTGACAACAAAATTGACAGCAAATATCAAATTATGACGTCACCGTTAATGACGTCATGCAATAACCTTGATTAAAGTTTTTAAAGTCCAATTTTTTTACTTCTTTAGAAAGAGCACAGCAAGAGCAGTTAAAAGCTGAAAACGATTTGTCAATATTTCAAAAATTAAAGGAGATATGACATTTTAAATTTTAGAGAATGCTCAGCCCAAAAATGGTGACCCCCCTTGATAAATATTTTCAAATTGAAGGTGTGTTTTCCTGTTAGCAATCTCACTTATGTTGCATATTGACTGTACTATATGAGTAGAACAGGTGTAATCCAAAAAAATACCCACCAATGATTTTCCTGCCCTTCTAATCACCTCAAAACATATTTGTGACGTCATTAGAAGTGACATCACAAATTATTCAAACGACAAAAACTTGTTTAGGAGGCCAAGACTAAAAAATCTAAAATGATACGATTTTTTGCAGCACTAAGTACTCTATTTTACCAAATTCTCAGAGTTCCTCAAAGAAAACTGAAGAAAAAAAATTAAGGGGACTGATTTTAGAGGAACAGTATGGTTCCGGAGGGGAAAACTGAAATTTCTTTAAATTGCTATAACTCGAGAAATATTTGTCATAGCGAGGAACGGTGTTCAATATAATAGTCCCCTAGTCATGCTCTTTTAAGTGATTATATTTGGTGGTTTGAAATTAGAAAACTTGTATGACACATTTTTGTGACGTCATCAAATATGGCATCACAATATGACATTTTGACATTTTGTTACACTTGAAATAATCAAGACAACGATCCAGGCAGTGTGCAAGGTTTGGTATAAAAATATGCAAAGGGTGCAAACTTGCCCTAAATGACCAATTTTAACACCATTTGGCCCCGGTGTGCAGTGCTACTTACCTTTCGTGGCACTTTGAAACTGATAGGTTCGCAAAACCCTTTAGCAACAAGCTTGAAGCATTTTGCGACCTCACAGACCATAACATCACAACCCCGTTTTGGCATGAAACAGGCACCTCGCTGAGGTACATTGGAGCTGTAGTTTGTTAGCCAATGGCAGTGGGGTGGTTCAGGATCCAACTCGTAGTACCTGATGATGCTGTCACCCTATTCAACAAAACATCATCACATTATTGTGCTTTTCTGATAATATTTCTAAGCAAAGGTTTTGTATAGCACAAACAAGTAAAAATTAGCTATAAGAAAGAACAACATTTTGGTGACATCGTGACACCATTTTCAAGTTCAAATGCAAAAAGATAAACTGTCAGAAAATTTGCTCAAGATTAACATACTTCGTAATTACATATGCAATGTCACCCAAATAGTTTTGCTTGACACCATCTCTTAATGTCCAGTCGGACTCAATTCAAGCAAAACTATGTGTGACATTGCACATTAATTAAGAAGTATGATAATCTTGGGCGAATTTTCTGACAGTTTATTGTTTTGCATTTGAACTTGATAATGGTGTCACGATGTCACCGAAACCTTGTTCTTTCTCATCGCTAATTTTTACTTGTTTCTGATAATAAGCAGTGAAATTCCATTTTCACATCAAAAAAACAAATTGTGCTTACAGTTTACTTTCCCAGATACAGGTACCTGATCCCTGAGGAATTGTTTAAATTAACCACATGAAAATAAAGGTCATCTTACTATATCCATCGACTTTGCATGTGGTTCTTCTAAAGAACAGACTAACATTCTAAAAGGAGTAAGAAGAATCACTAGTATGCATGCCCATATAAATATGTAAAGTACAGTACATTGTACTGTTTATTTTACTGTGTTCACTGGAACATTTGGCATCTATTCTTACTATGCTGGCCAGCCTAAGGTCCTGGAGGTATATATTACCCATAGTCTGGAACCATCAATTCAGAGGTACTTTTTTTTCAAAAAAAATAATAAATGAAAAATGTCATCAGATATCCTGTTAAGAAGTTGGCAAACTTGAGGCCGTTATGGAATGATGCAAAGTTCTCTGTGATTTTTCAGCCTTGACTCAAACATCAAATTTAATAATCCAACTTGAATTTAATCTGACAGGGTGAGAGTGAGAATGACTTCCATTGTGCAGTAATCTTACCTTGCCATATAAGTAAATCATTTTTGTGTCAGCATCATAATGAATAAAGAGGACTGCATTAGACTGGTCAATCTCCTCAAGGGCCAGATTTTCCAGAGTGTCCTGTTGCAGAAAAACAGAATTGTACCAAATCTCAGTGATCCATCTACCTGCACGTCCCGCATCTCAGACTCATAATTTTCCAAAAAGACGCCCAAATTTAGTCCCAGATGTGTCCAATGGACGCAAAAAAAATACCTTCTCTCTATTACGATCATGACTTGATGACTTTTCTTCTCTATTTATGAAAAATTTCAAAATGTGTATCAAAGTAAGCAGCGTGTGATCGTAAAGCGAACACTATTGCATTCTGGTCATTACAGGCTCAATTTTCATGATCAGAAGTGTAGGTTTTTTTTATTCTACACGCGTGCTTTCTGTCTCTTCCTGCTTGCTTTCGTAAGGCAGACATTGTTATTCAAATTAAATGCCACTGAAGAAAAAACTTAAGCCCCTGGAGGGGCAACACAGCTCTCATTTGCACAACAGCCCTAAGCGAGTCAACATCAAGAACAAGAAGCAGCAACTGCAATAGAGAAGAATGATGCGAAAGCAGACAATGAAGAATCGGCACAAACGAAATCTGCAAAATCTAAGGAACGAAGATTTTTTGAACTGTGGCTCAAAACATATTCGTGGCTGGTGTACGAGAAAAATGGAAATTATATGTATTGTAAAGTCTGCTCAGAGGCTAGGAAATCGAACAGAATGAGTAAGGGAGCCAAGTGCCTAAATTTTTAAAACACTACGCTAAATTGGCATGCTGGTCTCCTCGAACACCAGAAGATGGCCCTCGAAGGTCAAAAAAGTAACTAATAAAATACAAAGCTCATTTAATTGTATGTGTTATTCATAGGTACAACTCATATAATGTTGAGAGTGGGACTCACACTCCTGTTTGTGGGACTCATGGGTTTTGGGCTGTGCGAGTCCCTGGACTCACTACTGCCTTTTTCTAGATGGATCACTGAATCTCTAACATTTAATACAAGTGTCAATGTTGGTGATGTAGATCTAGATAAGTGTGACCTGATGATACCTTGCATTTATCAACTCACATCTCATATGTTTTATCTTGTGTAGATCTCGCTTTTTCTATCTTTCATATTAGTTAGAAAGAAAAAAATTACTTTAATTTCCAGCATGTTCACTTTACTTAACATCTTGACTATGTCAGCCATCAAGTGGACCTCTTGTGGGAACACTGTGAATTATGGTGCCCAGGATAGGGTAAGAAAGAGCAAAAAAGCAGGGGGAGGAAAAAGGGGAGAAAAAGTATTTTCTAAAAACCAAGGAACAAATACAGTATCCAGTAGCAATGGTGAAAGAGCCTGGCCCTATCAAGGAGAAGTACACAGAGCAGTTCAAATTTCCTACCCAGCCCTCCCCTGCCCCTGTTCCAATAACACAAGGTGTCCAAAACAGTGTTACTAACTTTACCAAACAAAATTCGTCAACCTCAAGCTAAATGTGTAACTACAGTAACGTTTTTCTGGAAACCAAACTAACCGCTTTCCAAATTGCATATTGTCGGGAACTCATCTTTGAGAATCCAGCAGTAAACAAGTAACCAAATTCACTGCAAAATGCTACTCTCTGTGGCTTGGCTCCTTCATGACCATTTGCTTCCTGCAAAGAACCAAAAAAACACACTTAAAAAAACAACATTCATAAAAAGAAATCCCCCCACTTAGCTAAGCTATAACCCCATAGTTGTCACATTGAGTTGAGAGACATAATGAAAGTGATGTAGGAGGTTGCAAAAAAGGCTACTGCTCTGTCTTGCAAATCTGAAGGGTCAGTGAAATGAACGGTTACACTCAATGTGGCATGTCAACCGAGAAGTGACATCTGCCAAACTGTAAGTGTTTATTATAGTGATCAAAGATCACAGAAATTGAGTATGAACAAATGCTTTTTTAAGAAATCAAATGTTTTCTGATGATATGGAGACCTTTAAATAATTCATTTACAAGTGAAGTAGGGGACTTTTGAAAGTAGGTGGTAACTGGGTTTTCTTCTGATCGAGGAGAAAAGTTAATTTCATAGGGTAACCTCCTATAATTTTTTATTCAATTGCCATTAACACTTAATATTTCTTTTACTGTCAACACTTATTTACAAAAAAATCAAATGATTTTAAGGGATTTTTAGGTTTTTTATCATCCATATTGTAGAGCAGTTCAAATATACCATGTCCCTGATATGCTTTGTGCACACCCTAATTTATCTTATCTAATTTATTTCATATTAGAGACTTTTATGCGTAGAACAAATCGAGTGCAAGAACTGAGAAGATGTTTCGTTGACACTACATGACATATAATGTGTTGTTCATAAAATATCCATACCCCTTCCACAGAGGGTGTCTAGGTTTGAATCCCCAATCCCTCTGAAAATTTCGGTTTTGTTCTTTCCTTTACAATTTTTGGCTTCTAAGAACCCCAATTCTATTGGAATTTCCAATAATGGTCCTTAGGGTAGGTATGGATATTTTCTGGAGCCACACAATGTGACTCATGGCAAATCAAAGACATGGAATATGATCAAGGAATTGATGATGGTTTAACTCCAAAATTGGGTTTAAACATTCCAAAGTGAACTTCAACATAACACAGACAAGCCAAGGGAGAAAGGAAATTTATCACACAATGGTTTTTAAAAAGATCCATCTCTTATCTGGAACAATACCTCATTTTGTTTATGACATAGTATTAATAAGCAACCTCATATTGCATTTCCCTAGTATGATTAACTAGATACAAGCACCAGACTGTGCTCCATGAAGCAGCCTACAGTTTGCATAAATTCTGGATTGCCTTCACAGAAAACAACCTATTTTGATTGCCCTCCATTACAAAATACTGCATTCCAGCTAAAGAAAAATTACTCCACTTTGGATCACTACAGTTGGTCCCTAATTCAAACTCAAAACCATTTCCCTTGCATTTGCCCCTCAGTCACTTACCATCAGCTATTTCAAACTCCCACTATTTCGAACAATTTTTCATTTCCCCTGAGAGTTTTAAATAACGGGGTTCAACTGTATGATAAAGGCAAAAGCACTAAGTTCTACTCACACAAACAACCTCTCCCTTCCGCACATCGATTGTCCTTATCTTCTTGTCTTTGCATGTGGTGGCAATAAGACTTCCATTGGTATTCCATGAGACGCTATAAATGATATCTGGGTGACAGTCAATTTCTTTGGCTGCCTCTCCAGTTTCTAAATTCCAGATAACAATCAGTGGGTCAGTGCTGGCACTAAGCAGGATATTAGATGCCACAGGATGCCACAGAACTTGGTGGACTTTTCTTTGATGGCTATCCGATAGAGTTAACAGAGGTTCTGTTATAGTCTCTTTGCCCAGTCCCTCATCAGGAATTTGCCAGATTTTCACAGTGGTGTCCTCTGAGGATGATGCTATCAAGTTGTCATCGAAAGGGTTCCAGGCTATATCCAAGACATCTTGTGTATGTCCACCCACTCTTCCATGCTCAGGATCTAAACGACCAACCTGAAAGACAAGAAGGAGAAGTCAATTATTTTCTTGCACTACAAGCAGACAATATATGGATACATTTTAGAAACAGAAAACATGTACCATGTTTGTATCGAGTTATAGAAACACAGTTTTAAACCAAAGAGCGCACTTATTTGCTTTGGGTTATTTTCTAAACATGTATGGTGGTTGAATTGACCACAGTTGACCATACTATTGTTCTACGAGTTATAGAGGCTACATATATATAAATAAGTACAATGGTTTGTTTTATGATGAGCAGATCCTCTTCATATTACATAAGCAGCCTTCTCAAAATGTTTCTGAGGAGGAGGCTATATTAAAGTTGGAGGCGGTTTGGTTGCTGAAGGCAACCTTTCGAGCGCCCATAGGGTGCGAGCATGTGGGGGGGTCCAGGGGCATCCCCCCCCCCCCTGGGAAATTCTTGAAATTTAGATGCTCAATGGTGTGATTTGGTGCAATCTGGGGGACCTGAAGGGTGAGAATTATATCTCATTTTTACCAACTTGATTTACTATCATTTGCAATAACATGTCAAAAGATATCTTTCATTCACAAATTATTCCAGGTTTGTCAAGATAAGATGGCAAAACATTTAAACTTTGAATTAATGTGATTGATATTGTACTGTCAATAATTATAGAAATTAACCCATAAGCTGTTCAGGAACAATGGTAAATACTTCATATAATAATAACAGGCTATAGTTTGTATATCAACAACTATAATATGTACATTGGCTGTCATAGCTAATTAGGTTACATAACTAATCGTGTCATAAAGCGTCCAAATTTCCAAAACAATAATTGTCATCAAATAATCAAATATCTCAGCTTTCTAGAAATCAGTGTCAGATTCAAATGCACTGTCATAATAATCACTGTCTGGCAGTACAGGTGAGATGTCTAACAGAGTTGACACTTCCTCAACTTCATGCTCAATTTCTTGAATGGCATTTTCCTCAACCATATCTGTCTGGACCGAAACATCAGCCACCTCCTTTGGATTGTTTACTGGAAGAGGAGCTTCTGTGGCAGTGTGAAGTGGACCTTGCCTTCTTGGGAGCTTCTTTCTGTTCTTTTGTCCAGCCACGACTGAACAGCTCAGGTCACAAGAGACACCATCTTTGAACTGCCCAATGCTGGCCCATTGATCTTTACATGAAGCATTTCCTCAAGCATGTCATTTTGGAGATGGCTTCTACATCGGTTCTTTACAATTTTGAGAGCACTTGCACCTCTTTCAGGCCATGCATTGCTCACTGGCAGGGTGATTGCAGTTTCTGCTATGAGGAGGAGCTCTCCAAAAAAGGGTTGATACTCGGACTTTCATAAGCTGACTCAGAAACCACTGTGTGCTGGTGGTACTGCTTTTTTCCGTCTTGATTTCAATGGGAATGTTGGGCTTGATGTTGTCATTGATGTTAAATTTCATTTGATGCCACTCTGCAAATAGTTTGCTACTTCTGGTCTTCTGGGAAGCATCACCATCACCCCAGTAAAAGTGCTGAGCAAGAGTAGAAATATCCCTGTTCCCATAGACATCGAAACCCAACTCACTGCTTTCTGGCACAGCCAAAGGGTCGAAAATCTTGAGTCCTGCAAGTAGAGGAGAACTGCTAGCAAATCGAGCTTCAACATTTGCAACCATACTGGTGATATATTGCTCCTGTAAGCGGTGCAGCTGTTGTTGCTGTGCAATAGACACCTTGAGATCGTCGCAGATGTTGGTATATGAATCAAGAGCTTCTAAAAACTTCTGCACTGGAGAGCTGGTTTCCAGTAGCTCCTCAAGACTGGCTTTGGTTGCATTAATCAGGGGAACAATTTGAGAGAAGGCCACTGATCCACCTTGAAATGCCTTTGACAGATTGGACAGGACTGGCAGGACATCTTTCAAAATGAAGAGCACTCCAATGAATTTTCCCTCTTTCAGCCTCTTGAGCAGGCCATGAGCTGTAGCACAGCCACCTTCCTCCAAAGCTTGAAGGGTATGAAGGACAGCCTCGTATTCTTGATACAGGGCAGCAACAGACTTGTCAAAACTCAACCACCTTGTGGAACAAGCCTTCTTCATGCTCTTTACAAGGATCTGCTTACTCTTCTCTTTTAGCTCTAAGCTGCATTTCTTGATGTTAATTTGCATCTTCAACAGAACTGCTAGGCGTTTTGGTGAGTTCTCAAAATATGTCCAGAGTTCACACAGTGTGTTCTCCACTCACTTGATGTAGGCAATCTCCTTGTTAGTATCAGTGCGAGCTAAGGCCAATTTGCGACAAATACAGTGAACATTGATAATGACTGGGTTTAGCTCTTTAAGCTGTGCTGCTACACCATTATTTTTGCCAATCATCACTGCAGCCCCACCTGTTGCAAGGCCATTCAGATTTTTAAGACTTAAACCACACTGCTGTACCAACTCATCCTTGATAAGGGATGTCAGGGCATCAGCGTTAGCACTTGAAAATTCCTCTAGGATGTTTTGCACTGACAGAAATGCAATTTCCATGGAAGATGTGACAGGGCTTACAAACTGGATGAATGTAAGCATTTGAGATTGGACACAGATGTTGGTTACCTCATCCACCATGAGTCCATAACTTTGGACCTGCTGCACACTGATAACTATTTCTTCCTTGACTGTTTCTCCCAAGATGAGGAAGATTTCTCCCATTGATCCTTCAGAACTGTGGTTGAAGTACTTGAGTTGATTCACGTCTTTGGCAATTTCTCTTCTTTCCACCACTTCTTTGTGGAATACAGACATGTGCTGTAAGAGCTCTTGACTGGCTACTTTACGATGCCGATCAGAACCACAATGTACCTTAAGGGCGTCATACTTTAATCTCATACTTGCTGTTTGAGTGAAGGCTGATTCTTCTTTATTTTGCACTGTTTTTAGTGCATGCTTCTTGCATAATAGGCAGAACATCCCTTCACTCTCTACAAAACAAAGGCAACGATTTTCCTTCTCTTGGTGCCAAGTATGAATGTACTTCTTCTTCTGTTGCTGAAGTCTTGCTATCTCTTCCTCTCTTAAGCTACTGCACAGTTTGGAAGGACATGTGTAATAGCTGTGCACAACTTTGTCAGTACCAAAGAACTGACCTATTAGATCTTGACATTCTTTTGCACTCAAGAGAACTTGAACAAGAAGGTTGTTAGGCCACCGATTTAGCTTGGGTGGATGAGCTTGGTGTAGAACTACAGGACATCTGATGAAGGGTGGAAACTGGTGAATCATCTCCCATGCCTGTCCTGCTTTCTACTTCCTGGGTGGTGGAAGCACCTGCAGTAACATTATTGCCATCCCTTCTTTGTTCATTGCCTTTGACCAGATTAATGTATATTTTCATTGAAATTGTGTCTTTTTCTTTCTTGTCTTTATAGTAATTAAATGGCCGTGAAATGTGGAGCATGGATTGAATGTGATTAAAAAAATCATCATTGAAATATATTACTTCCAGTTATCAATGAGTTATTTGTTGCCAGGATATAAATTGCAGAGATTGCCATCATTTGCAAATTCATGCAGACGCAATTTTCAACACAGGTTACGGCTCTTCCTCAGCTAACCAAGATTTGTATTACTGTATTTTTTCTCTAAATCCTCAACTATTGTATTGCCACATGGCCTCTATTTCACGGTCATTTTAACACATTGTTTGAGGGTCCAGGAAATTACACTGAAGACTGTTTAGTCGTGTGCACGTCACCCAACCTGTTTTTTACCGGTGAAACCTTTTGCAAGGTTTCAGGAATTTAGAAACAATAAAACCCTTTTAAGATATCTTGAAACCACTTTTTACTTGTTATATCAATATCGTGTTACGCGATACTGTTCATTCTAATTAAATTATAACAGCTGTTTAAATTTGTTTGCAATACTTTTGACTCTTTGGTTCACGACTTCACGTGAGTGTCTTAAGAAGTTGCTCTTTTTATTTTCCAAACTTGTTATTTACATTGTGTTAATGTTTTAAAGGATTATTTCAGTGTTTGAACAAGTGGAGTTTCATTTATAAATCCACCGAGAAACGCAAATCCAGGCGGTCAAATCAACAAAGCAATCTTTCTGAGACAGTGTCGCACCGCAATTCCCACAAGTTTAATCAAGCGGAAAATTCAGCAAAGCGTGAATTTCAAAAAAGAGAGACTAAAAACAAAAATAAACGCTTCGCCTAGCCTTTTGTAAAGTCCAGATACCATTTGCTGTTTGTGTTAAAGATGGCTCTGATTATGTTAAGATATATAGTGTATATTTTAACATTTTTAACGACCATTTCTATTTTATACAACTAATTTATTCATTCGCTGCCACCAGCATGTGCAAAATCGACGCAAAAGATTGCTGTATTATTCTACTGAAAGAAGTACTTACCATCCTTCCTTTGCTCTTTGGCAAAGTAGGAAGTTATCCCTGAACCGGGTGTGGGTTTTCGTTTTCAATTCTCTGCCATAAGTTTTTAACGCTTTAAAATACTCTCCTCCCATTGCACGACACAACTGTAAATGACACAGTAAAACCCAGATAAATTACTTTCTGATTGTGAGCAGTCCTTGACGTGAAATTGACATGGTTTTATCTGATTCGATGAATATTTCTGCTTTCTTTATCGAAGATTGAAGAAAGATCAGAATGTTTGTGTTTAAAATAACGGATGCACGCTAAACAAGCGCTTTTAACCCTTTTGAATAATGTTCAGGGACTTTCCTTTCAGGTTTAACAGTTCTTTCCATTTTCTTTTTTCTTTTTTCTTTTCCTCTTGTTGTTAGTAAAAATAATTCATTTTCTGACGGCAAGGAGACAGTCAAATTCCCAGAGGAGGCAGTTCGTTGAGCCAGCTGCTGGCCCATTTTGAGAAGGCTGCATAAGTACACTGTCAGTCATATCTAAGCATCAAAACATCACTTGAAACATTATTTCAATCGGTACCAAAAATTGCAAGTTTCCTTATCAATCATTTGCAGTTTGACAGACCCTTACACAAGCTCTTATGACCAGAAAGAGAGAAAAAAAGAATTCCCAGAACAAAGGAACCTCACATTCCTATTCCTTTGATCCTGCTCTGGTAATTTCTGGCATTTTTAGTTGGTTTCTCAGAAAATTTCTGTCTTCACAAAGCCTTTTTTAAAGAACAAAATTATATACAAATGGATGAAATAAATAAGAGAACAAATTCTCAAGTTTTTGAAAGAGTAACATCATTTCTACCACAACTAATGACACAATTTAAGAAAGGAATTGACTGTCAACTGAATGACGACTAATGTGCAAAAAAAACCTAACTAAGCAAGTCAACAGTGCTTTTTGGTCTATAAAATGACTACATCAATTTCTTTGCACTTGTTAAATTTTTGAATGACTAATCCGTATTGAATTGAAGGGCATGCATCTGGAAGCTAAGTCAGCTGTCCAGCCCCACTGCCCAATGGAAATTTCCTGGGCCTTTTGATCCCTCCCACCCCTACCCCCCAACACAACCCCTCCATTGTGGTGGAGCTATGTATATTTTCTGGGACCACACAATATAAAGTACCCTAGAAATGGAATATTGGTAGTTGCAGTAACTACATGTAAACACATTTCAGTGTTAGTTTCGTATGCATGCCAATCTAGGGATACATAAGTGATATCCGGTATCAACTTGAGAATACCTGTCATATAAGCTCACTTATATTTACACGTTTCCTCCCACTTTCGTAACTTCGTTCCCGTCGGTTACAATTTCATTTGTACAAATCATTGAATTGTCTCAGTAAACTGCCAGGTGAAGCTAACTTGTAGAAGACAAATACAAACTTGTCTTGCTTTAGGTTTCTCATCTATGCTAATTTACCAGCAAGTTTAAAGCATGTAATTAAAAGAGCATCCTACCTCGTCGAGTCTCAAGACAAGGAAGGCACCACCGCCAGCCGATGCTAATATAATAGCAACAAATTTAGGATTGACTGCACAGAACGGCGATTCAACTGCATTTCTTGAAACCTGAAATCCCTCATAACAATGATCCTTCTTTGCTGCCGTTCCAAATACATGCCGGAACTTTGATTGCCTCACGAATTTGGCCATATCTGCTTGTGTACAGTGACTTCTATGAATACTCTGAGGTTTCTTGCACCTTTGCTGGTCTCCAAAGACAGAGAAACCTACAAAATATTCAGAAGGCAGCACCAACGTACCGAGCGAAACAAAGCAGAAGGAAATAGGAAATAGTGAGTTTGCGAGGAGGGGCTAAAGTCACGTGACCAGGTTTCCGGGGATCCTATTTTGGGTGTCTATTTCAGATCTTTACTATCTGGTTCCTTCTTCGCAACTGCTTCCAGTTGGAGCACTACTCAGACTGCTCAGTATTTTCCTGTATACCGTATATCATGAATGTCGACTTATTTACGGTAAGAATTGGCCTGCTAATCGATAAAATATGCTTACTACCTAAAAATACCTTCCTATATATTTCTTTCGCGTGAAACTTAGAAGTTTTATCATCACAGTTTCACATGCGCTGCAACCGTGTTTTTTTCTGACCCAGCTGTAAACTTCTAATACTAGGTCTTTTAAAGACTTTAAGCTTACATGTAGTGAGAACCTCCAAATCCTGATCAACAATATTCAAAATGAGTTATTCCAGCTGTAAGTTTAAGTCGTGGGGAGGTTTTCTATGGAGGTCACAGTATATATATTCTCTTCATCTTTCATCAACCAGAGTAAATCTAGAGAGGCTTTGCAGAAGCCGTTGTATCAGAGATGTGAAGAGATTGAAAAGTTGATAGAAGGCTCTTCCACGCAGGTACTCAAATCAACCTTCAGTCGTTTTATTTCAGCAAATATTCTATACTAATCAGTTTGTGTTAAATAAATGTGCATATTTAACCCATTGACTCCCGGAGCTTTTTGCCAAAAACGCATTTTTGGACATTTTGGAGATTTTCAGCCTGGATATGGGCTAAGTTAGCTCCAAACTACTCAAAGAGGCATTTGCAACATGACAGCATGCCTTTCTTTCCACTAGCATTACCACAGAGTACCTAAGTGTAGCGGGAACTTTTGCTGCCAGATTTTCACTCAAATTTCTGAGAATTTAATGCATATTTCAGGCTCCATTGAGCTGATCACTCTGATGTGGGTATCATTGGAAAGATCTTTCCCTCCTGCAGAACTTGAGTATAGATGATGCCAATTTTGGTCGAAGGTGACATGATAATGGCAGAAGTTGACCAAAGGCCAATGTTCGTCACGGCCGGTTACGGGCGGCACGAGAGTCTTTGGGTTAAATTAGACTGGGAGAGTTAAGGAATGGATCACTGTGGAATGTAGAAAGGAAAACTATTTATCTCCCAACTAGTGTGGTTTTCAATGGGCAATAGGCCATGTTCGATACATCAATATTCTAACATGCTTCCCAGGCTTTCAGTACAATTGTCTATATTTGGTGTTGTTTACTATGTATCCAAGTCTCTTTTGGGAATTGAGAGACAAAGCACACTTGAAAAATTTACAGTTTTGACCCAAAGCCTCAGAACCATGTTAAAATATTGTTATATTGAATGTGGCCAATTCCCTCTATGAGATGCGCCTGCAGGGAATCATGGTAGTTCTATTCATGGTCATGGTATTCATCATCTTGGACTGGATATTTATTTTGATGAATACAACTACCATGATTCCCTGTTAATGCATCTCATAGAGGGAATTGGCAGTTTAGTGTCCATAAACCAAAACCAAAACCAAAGTTTTTTTATTGTACCTTATTCTGAATATCCCCCTTGGGATAAATAAAGTATGTATGTGTACACATGTATGAGCAAAGTAATCACTCTGACGAATTGCAATAGGTTAATAGTAAGTTGCTGTATAGTTACCTTCTAATTTTTCTAGTGCAAGTTCAACTCTGCCATCAAATGATTGTTAATTAAGAAATACATTGTACAAAACATGTATCATCTTTCTATTGAGTTATAGAAACACAAGTGGAAGTTTGGAAGAATGAAAAATGCTGTTGGAACACGAGCCGACAGGCGAGTGTTTCCACAGCTTTTTCGAGTTCTCCCAATCTTCCCTGAGTGTTTCTATAACTTGATAGAAACATGAGGAACATGTTTTCTATTTCTTTTAGAAAATCCCATGGCAAGGCATAGTTAATAGTGGGGACTGGTTATGAAGCCCGGCAAACATCAGAGGAGCAAACAAAGAGGCAAGATTTTTGTTGGAAGGTCCATGACCGTGCACAATCTTTTGTTCTGCGCTCATACCCTATGCATGAATTACGTAACCAACCTGTTTCTTTTGGTTAGTTCCTCAGTATGTAGTAAACAACTACTGCGTTTGGTGCACTGTCAGGGCCAAAAAAGTGAATAAAAACATGTAACAAAGAACTTTGTCAGGTTCATTTCCATAACCATTCCCCTCTATTAACTATGGACAAAGAAAGGAAAACAACTTGTTCGATTTGATCATCAAAATGTAAATTCTCTTTGCTCACGCCATCATTATGTCAACAGTTCGTCGTAGTTCTGTGTTGCTACTGAGTAATGATTTTAAACCAATCAGTGTGTATAATTTCTTTGAACTAATTTATAATGTTATGTTGTGTTGCAGAATCTGCATGGATTCTTTCCGCAGCTCCTCAATAACATTTTTGGCTATTCTGGCTCAACAGATTGGGGTCTTAAAACCCTATCACGAGACAGTAGAGAGTTTGACTTAGTACGTCGGTTTCTATCTCCGTGTGGCACAGTTTTCAAATTGATTGACATGCTGCAAGCTGATGATTTACACCGATATGAATTCTTTATTAGTTGCCTTCCAGTGAGTTTGATTCATCTTTGCTTTTTGCAGTTTACAGAATTTCAGAAGTAATAGACTGTTATAAAATAATTATTGTTCTCTTTCAGTTTGATCAGGTAAATAAATAACATTTCCATTAGTTTATAGTTTGCAGTCAAAGTTCTTGTAAGTAACAATTTAAACAGGGTTTCACAATGTAAGTTGCAACTAGACGTCTACATGAGTGGTCACAAGGAGAGCTTTGACTGTGTTATATACAGTGGTCAAGTGGTTTGAGAGTGGTGCATGGTTACATGTCCTACCCCTTGAGATTTTGTGGTATAGGTACTTTTTGCATGGCTTTAAAACATTAAAACCTAGGAACTAAAAAAAAATGGCTGGAAGCTGGCCTTAAATTATAAATGTACCTAAGAGAACAAATTTGATGGTGCATAATGCTGTCATAGGTAATGATATTAATTACTTCTATATTTTGCTTACAGTTCCCAACACAGAACTCATTATCAGAAGGCATGATTCCAGTGTTTTATCATGATAAAATACCAGCCAGAACCCCTGGTGAGGCCAGAAATGCAGTGTTACTTAGTATCCTTATGTGAATTAAATGCCTCATGTGCATTATCTTGCCATGTGATCTTGACATAATTTATTGATCCAAATTATCCTCGAAGGTTAAATTCACACTTGAAAGTTTCAATCATTTGGAAGCAGAGGCTGCCAGATTTGCAATAAACTTCACTTACTGTATCTTGCAAAATTGAAACTAAATGAAACAAAATGATGGGTACAACTGAAGAATTAAAGATTTCAAGTACCATACATGAAGCAGCTAGAATTTTCTGTGTCATAACTGACCATTACACGTATGTGACTTGAAAACCTGAAAATTGTTTAATGAACCACTGAGTCTGCATGCACAAATACAACTTTCAAACAACAATTCAATCCTTGCTATTTGCTTGAGCATGTAGTTTAATACTGTGTTGAGAAAAGATTGGAAATCCTTATTTGAATGAAATTTACTTACATTTACTTATACTGAAACAATATTATCTGATAGTTGATGCAGCGTTGTGCCTCATCAACTATCACCCCATACAGTGTAGTAATCTTGAGCTCATAAATAAATCTAATTGTTAATTAGAGTTCATTTTAAAATGTATTTATTTTTGACTTACAAAATACTCTATTCTTTTTTATGTTATCACCCAGAAAAACCCTAAGTACTGTTAAAAAGTAGCCGAGTTATTTAGAAAAAACATATTTTCAAATAAAGTTAATAGAACCAGGAAGGTGTCATAATCACTTAAATGGACAAAACCATGCCTGGGGAAATTTTTGTGGCAAGCGCTCATCTTGGAGCTTGTATTTCATGTTATTTGGTATTGTTTATATCGCCCATTTGTTCTTTTGCCTTTGGCTACTTTGCCCATTTTAGTTTCTTTCTCTTCAATGCAACAGTGAGATAGAAAACGTGTTGCAACACAATGCTTTTCCAGGAAAATCCTGAACCATTGTCATTGATGCAAGGAAGTCCTGTTGTTCCATTGGTTTGCAGTTTCATTTGGCAAGATAACCTCCTGGTGTGGCGTGAGTTGTTTACGAACCTTTACAAGCTAAAATCTCTCTTTTGATTTTGGGAGGATTACACTCACTTTGAGTTAATTTATAGGTATGCAGATTTGACAGATTTTCGTGAAATTTCGCCTGAACATTCTAGGGATAATGGCAAACGAAATTGTGTCGGGAAATTTGGATATTTAACAACTGTTTTCTCGTGCATCTATCTATGCAACATGTCTGGCATATTTATAGTTACTCAAACTTTAGATGGGAATATCTGATAACCAATCAGAATATTGAAAAAGCCCAACACACTTTTGTTGATTGATACCTTGTGAATAAGACTGCAACCATTAATTTTTGCTTGTGTGGCGGCATCCCATAGCCTATAAATTCAATAGAAGAACCCTCAGTCATTTCACCCCTTACCCACTCTTGACACTTCTTAAAAGAAAAACTCACTTAAATTGTATTTTTATCATAAACTACATTTATTAAACTTTCTTTTCATAAATATAGTTTGTTGGGGTTTTATTGAAACTGCCGGCATACGAATTTTTTTTCCCGAAGGACACCTGTAAAGGTGGGATGTAACCTTAACACTGTGGCCTTGAGCCCAGGTTATTAGCTCTTCCTACCTCCTCCAGGGAAGAAGAGACACTTAAAAAGGACTTTGGCTTGTATCATACTCTGTGAGAGAGGCAAACCAAATAAATCCATGTTCTGGCGACATAGTCCACTGAGATCATTAGTAGTATTATAATAGCATCTGTGTCAAGACTAGAAAGTACAATGTACACGACTTTCTTTAACAGTCACAGCATTTATACTGTTCCTTGACTTTTTAAAGATGCCTTTGAGTACTACATGTTTCATTTTGCATACTATATTGTACATCAGGAAACCAACAGGGTAAGATATGTCCATGGATTGATTGAACATTTGCTCCATCTTATCAAACCATCAATGCCGGGTTGTTCAAAGCCTGATGAAGGTAATCCAGGATTAATCTAGTATAACAGATAATTTTGATTTTAGTTTTCCAACTTTTCAGTAGGGTTTTCTGTTTATATAGTTTGTCATTCAGTTTTGACTGCCACGCCATGTTGCACCGCGCCGCACCACACCGCACTGCAATGTGCCATGTCATGCCATGCCGTGCCATTTCTTTCATTTTTTTTTTTCTTTTATTCATTTGCTTACTCATTTATTGAATGATGTAATATTTTTAATTTATTTATTTTGCCTAAAAAGTGTCTAAAAACAAGCTGCACGCTAAGAGGCTTTGTTGTGAATTGTTATAACTGTAGGAATCAAGCCTGACTGCACCTCAGGACTTTCTCTACTTGTTTGTGGTGGAGGACTACCTTAACTTCTTTTTGCCATCTGATGGATCACCTATCCTGCCAAGTAACTTGAAGGCTAAGCCTTCCACTGGATCAATACGGAAACTTTCTTCCTGGTAAGTTATGGATATGAGAAATGTTAGTAATGTCTTCTCGTTAAGGTGGACTGCAGCTATTTATTGGAGTGCAAGCTCTGCTCTATGAATAATTATTGAATTTTCATCATGTAAGCATTGCCTTATTTCTACTATTTTGGTCTTTGAAAAATGCATCTTCAAATTTTGCATAGCTCTTAAGGAATCAAGAGATGCTGTACAAATGATTTGAGAAAACACTTTCTCTTTAAGAAAATACAAATACACTGTACTGTCATGAGATGCAAACGTGAGTCTCTACCCCAAAAAGTAGCTGCTGTGCCACACCATGATTACTTCTTTAATTAGTGTTCCTTATGAAAATTTGGTCACCCTTGCACTGAGATAACAACAGGCCTTGTAGACAGTCAACTGGTTAACCCTTCATCAGTTAAGATTCTTAACTGTGCTTCCAATTCTTCTTTTGTTTCCCAATTCAATCTCTATATACATTTTAACAGATATTTTGAATGCCCTTCAGGATGACATTGTCAAATAAACTTTCAAATTTATTCTATTTTTTGGAAAATTTTTGATTTTCTTTACTCTTACTGTCTTACCACAAAATTATTCTTTCATACAGCTGTAGTTTGAAATGGCGGAAATAAGGAGCCAAGGGGGGACAAGCCCATCAGAAACTTGTATTTCAGTAACATGCAAGTCTTTTCAACCATGCCACTTTTGTTGTTGTTGTGCAGGCATGAGGTCAGTTCCTATACAAGGACTCAGTATTTTCAAAATCAGTTTAAAGGTCTGATTAAACCTTCGTCAGGAAGAGTTAGTCCACCCACCACACATCATGGAGTGCTTGATCACACCTCGCAGGAAATATGGAGATCTGAGATATTTGTTCAAGTGAGTGATGTTTGTATATAATAGCTTGCTTTAGGGTTGTAAATACATGACATCGTGCTAACTGGTGAAGGTGGCCTCTTGATGAACTCAATGGCCCACAACTTTGAGCACTTAGTCTAATTTCTGTAGCATGAAGGAGAATCACAAGCTGTTCCTCAATCTTTCATTAGGCTCCTTAACAATAATATCTGTTACCATTTATACACCTTGGTAGATCGGGTTATAGGGAGAGTATCAAGTGCCTTGACTAAAACACAGCATAGTGACCCTGATTAGTGTTTTTACCAGCACCTAAAACCTAAAACCTTTACCTAAAACATGTTTGCTAGCCAAAGGCACTAGTATTCTTTGATTTGGTGAGGGTTTTGTTTGATTTTGTTTATATTTAATCATTGAACATAACTATTGTTGAAGTAATTTCTTTTTCTGACTTGTAGGTTTTAATAGAATTTTGGCTAAATCAGAACACAGTGGGATCTTTTTCAAGCAATGTCCTTTCTCATGGACAGGTACCTGACTACAAGTTTATAATTTTTACAGGTCAAGTAGAGTAGGCCAATAGCCCACTTGCTATGGTATTTAACTTTGTTTTAAAAACATGAAGCAGTGCAGAGTATTGCTATTCCCTCTAAATTGAATGCTAGTCCATCACAAGTTGTATTCTAGTAGTTACATGTAATTTCATGAATTGCAAGATCAGTAATATTGTTGGCATAATGCCAGGATTTATGAGATTTTCTCTTCTTGTTGTAAATTCAGGAGTATTTCATGCCATCTTTAGACCATGTGCGTGTGGTCAGGTTGTTAGTCAAGCATATTCATTCCTTTGTGTACATCAAGACACCTGACCTGGATCAGCTTCCTATTCTACATTCATCTGATGAACTCAGAAGGTACTACATTTAACGTTTCATCCTAGAGTCATTCATAGATCTTGGTTCTATGCAAGTCTCATTAAAGCAAGTGTCCCAAAAGCTGTTATCAAAAACTGTTGACATACAAATGAGGCAAAAGGGTCAATTCTACTCTGTATTGACCCTTTTGCCTCGTATGTATGCCTTTTTCAACAAAACAATATTCCACAATAACAGTTATTTGGGCTGCTCCATAAAAAGGTTCCCAATTCTGTTCATCAGCATGTCCCTATGATGTCAACACTTTGTTACATGAGTTGAATGAAAAGTTTTTCCAACGACAGCTCTTAGTCAAGTTCTCTGTATACAGTTGATTACATGCAGTAGGTTTTTCCTTGTAGGTTTACTTGATTCTTTTGAATATTTGTTGAATGTTTATCTTGCAGGGAAATCATACCTCAGTTTCTCCAAAAGAAGCTGTATTATTTTCTGCAACATTGCTTTTCCCACTGGCCTCTGGATTCTTCCTTTAGATATGTAAGTATTTTTCCATTCATTTTTGAACTAGTCTTCTTTTGTGAAAATTATATCATTCATTTCACTTTAGAGATATGAAAGTTGTTTGGCAGTGGCAGATGGAGCTAACATGAAATTGACTCAGGGAATAGAAAGAGCAGCAATGAAGCAGTGAAAATTAAATGTTTGGCCCTCTACTTGAAAAAGTCGAGGAGGTAACTGGTGAGATCATGGTGTCGTGTTCTTGGACAAGATACTTAACTTTCACAGTACCTCTCTCCACCCAGGTCTATTATGGATTCTGATAGATTGTTAATAGGGTAGCGTGACAGAATGCTGGGACTAACCTGCAATGGACTAGCTTCCCATCCAGTGGGGAGTAGAAATACTAGCCACTACATGTTACTTTTAATTAGTGCCAAGAACTATGAGCCAGTTGCACTTAAGAGACTTTAATTTGCTTGGTGAGCTTTTTAAATTTCAGAACTTTCCTTTTTTAGCATTTCTCTCATTGATAGAATTTGATTACTGTTTGTCAACATTTTTGTTGTGAGTTAATCATAGCATTCCTTCTTGAATCTGATAAATATGAGGAAATGCAAAGTGATGAATTCATGGTCACTGTGTGAGATGAAAGAAACTAAAGGTTTCTTGTGAACCCTTACAGGTGTTGGAAACCTGGCTAAGTTATATTCAGCCATGGAGATATTCAAAGCACCATCATGATGGCTCTACAGCTAGTGGGAGTGAGGAGTCCAGACAAACTGCCAGCCCACAATGGTGAATAGTGTTTACTTAACTAATAATAATGCCATTTGTGATATACATGACTTAGCTTCTTCAAGTTTACACATGTGAACTGGTTTCAAAGTTAAAGTGCCACTGAAACGAAATTTTCGTATGTGAGATTTTTGCTTAGTAACAAAGTTTCAACCTTACTTGGAAACACTGCAGACTTTTTTTTCGCATACGGTAAGCGAAAACTGCTTTTTCAGCCGTTCGAAATTGGCTGGTTAAGCCCA